AATTATTTTTTATGGTTGTAATACTTCAATATGAATTTAAAAACTTTTTCTCAGGAAAACACTGTTGCGTTACATGTATTATACATTTTCCTCTGTTAATATTTTTTGGTCAAACAATTGTGTGTATATGGGGGAGGGTATCAGAAATAATTGGATAGATTCAAAAATCCAACTGCTCTCTTGTTCTCATTATTTACTATTTTAATTTACATTTATTTATTTATTTTTTTGAGCCAGAGTCTGGCTCTGTTGCCCAGGCTGGAGTGCAGTGGTGCGAACTTGGCTCACTGCAACCTCCACCTCCTGGGTTCAAACAATTCTCCTGCCTAAGCCTTCTGAGTAGCTGGGATTACTGAAGTGTGACATCACACTTGGCTAATTTTTGTATTTTTGGTAGAGATGAGGTTTCACCACATTGGCCAGGCTGGTTTCAAACTCCTGACCTCAGGTGATCTGCCTGCATCCCAAAGTGCTATGATAACAGGTATGAGCCACTGGCCTGGACTGATCTATATTTTGCTTTATATATAATGTTCTTAACTCATTTTCATGTATATATTTCTTGTGTACTTTTGGCTTCTTCAGGTTAGATTTTTTGTTGTTGTTTTCTTCGAGATTTCTTTTTCTCCTTTTGTATTGTAGAGAATACAAAAATACAAAGATGAAAATAAAAGCACTAAAGTTGTATTTAACCACTGAAGGAAGCATTGAATAATAATTAAATTTTAGGTGAAAAAGGGTTGGGGGTAACAACCAGAGATAACTCTCTGTTATTTTGATACATGTCCTTCTGGCTTATAAGTACATGTACATCTGTCTCTCCTTCCCTCTCTGTCTCTGTGTCACACACACACACACAATTGTTTGACCAAAAAATATTAACAGACGAAAATGTATGATACATTTAACACAACAGCATTTTCCTGAGAAAAGGTTTTAAAATTCACATTGAGTTATTACAACCATAAAAAATAATTGCAAGGGCATTCATTGCAAAGACAGTGAATCCCCTCCAAGTCACCCTGAAAAATAAAATCATCGCGCAAACTCAAAATTGCTGCTAAGACGGTGAATTTTAAAAAGCATGTAGTTTTGGGATTCCTACTCAATTATTCTTGATTCCATTCTTTTGAGACTCCTCCATGATACAAACTTAGCTAGATGTATTTAAGATCTGAAAACCATTAGAACTAATTAAGATGAATTTGGCTTTGTTCTTCAACTTCCTGTAAAAAATGCTCAACAGGAAAACTGATGCTCACAGTAAACCACAGTCATCCTGTTTCTTTAACACAATCTTTTCACAGCTGCAGTTGCCTGGAGTTTCTATTTTATGATTCGAGCCACCGCAACATCACTACTGTCCCTTCCCCCACAGCATGTCATCTGGCCATTTTAGAAACTTTCAATACCTTTGCAGAAAGATTCTATTATTGCTGCTCCTCCTCTTTCCAAGCTGAAGGTCCTTGCTCAGAGCAACAAGGCCATGGATACAAGATGGGAAACAGAAAAGGCAGCTGGACTCCCGAGGAAGCAAAAGGCAGAGAAGAGAAGAACAGCTTTTTTAGCAAATTAGCCACCTCACCCAGTTGGTTCTTATGCATGGTTAGTCTCCATTTGAGCTGAATGTGGAGCACATGCTTGCTGTATATGGAATCCCTCATTTCTCAAAATGTACTGCTCCTTTCTCAATCATCATTGAAAACAATACTTCAGTGATGTCTGATGAGGTTGTCTTCTTAATGGTAAATGTTAATTTAAGTCTCTGTTGAACGTAGAAATGCTTCTTTTATAAATCTTTTAGATAAGGAGGTGATTTATTTTGGCAGGGAGTGGAAAAGGTGTTTTTCAAAGAAGACATTTTGAAGACATTATAATGTCATTAAAACTGGTTAGGAGTTTGGACACAATTTTACTGCAAGAGTACTGCTAGGGAAATAAAGGTTGCTATGAAGTAAAATTATTTTTTAATCCACTATTATGCACATTTAATTTTAAAATTAATACAAATTCATAGACATCCAAGATCCTTTTAATAGTTAGAAAATGATGTTTAGCTGAATGACCCGCTTACCTGTTATTATTTAACTGAACAAAAGGGAAAGGAAATATTTTTTACTTTATCCTTATAAATGAGTAGCAGGTTTTCTCTCATACTTCCCATCTCTTCAAGGGGCTCAAATTTCCAAGCTAAAGTCTTCCTGAATCGCTATCACCACATTTAGTTCTACCAGAGGATTAAGAGGTACCACTGTTTCTCTCTCTCTCTCTCTCTCTCTCTCACACACACACACACACACACACACACACACACGTGCACGCATGTATATGTCAACACACTTGATATACTGTATTCATTTTATCACTGAAAGTATAGCTTTATGATACAAGCAGAAGTGTCACCAAGTTTACCTCTGAGGAAGTGAAAAGATTTAGAAAGGAAAGTATCTTACTTGAGATTATTAGTTTTAAAGATATTTACTGTTGCTGTGACATTTAAAGCAAAACATTTGTAATCTCAGATTCCCAGGGCCAGAAAAGCACCTCAAGAAATCACACTGGCTGGGTGTCGTAGCTCATGCCTATAATCCCAGTACTCTGGGAGGCCCGGGTGGGAAGATCGCTTGAACCCAAGAGTTTGAGAACAGCCTGGGCAAATATAATGAGACCCTCATCTAGACAAAAAAAATATATAAAATTAACTGGGCATGGTGGCATACATCTGTAGTTCCATTTACTTGAAGGCTGAGGTGGGAGGATGGTTTGAACCCAGGAGTTTGAGGCTGCAGTGAGCTGTGATCATGTCAAGTGCACTCCAGCGTGGGTGACAGAGAAAAGCCCTGTCTCCAAAAAAAAGGAAAGAAAAAGAAAAATCATACAATTTATAATGTTGCTTCACTTGTGAAAGAAAAGCTCTTACAATTCAGAGAATTTCCTCTACATTGAGCTGTTAGGTGGCCTTTGGAAATAGCCTATCTAAGTCCGGTTTTCAAAATAATAGCACTTACTGAATAGGGTTACTCAAGAGTTAAATGCGGCAGTGCTTAGTAAGTTTAGCCATTTTCAAAAAATAAACTAAGCAAAGGTGAAGAACCTAACACAGAATAAGTGGTCAGTAAATATTACCATCTTTCCCCCTATTTAACCATGAGAAAGAGAAACCATGAGCTGATTTAAATCAGCCTATGTGTGTACGCCCATGCAAACTTCTGTATTATAAGTGAATGATGAAGGGAGACGTGTATAAAGTACACTTCAAATTTCTCAGAAAAGCATATTGATCAAGGCATTCCTTTTTCTAGTATGTTTTTCCAGTTTTAATTTTCAGGACAGACAGAGGTATTTACGGCAGTCCAGGAGAAATGCTTTTTTTCAACAACAAGCACATGTTTTTACCAATTTGGACAAAGTGAGTCAAACCTAAAAGCAGAAATGTATCACAATTTAAATAACCAGAAGCTTCCAAAGTAAATGATATGTGTTCATAAAATGTTAAGGCTTCAAAAGATCATAAAACTTGAAGGGTCCAGGAGTTAGATATCACTTCATCTTACATTTTAGGTAGGCTGGGGAACTTCCAGCCTACAGGCCAGATTTAGAATTTGATCAGATCTGAGGTTGCTGCTGGACCCCAGAAACTAATTCTCACCACAGGGAGTTCTCTGAATATTTCAGTGCACCCAGAGTATGTGTAACCCTTAAAAGCTTAGATATTAGAGTAGTTGAAGAGTTGTGAGCAAATAGCCCATGAATAAATTTTTCAAAGAGCATTAGAAAACCTGACTTAGTGAAAATGACTTTTAGGTAAGTTATTTAATGACCTTAGACCTATAAAAAGAAGAGTTATGACACGATGATGTTCCAGTTCAGAAGCAACAAAGCTTGATCAAGTTAAATGCATAGCACTCTAAGACCCACAGGTCCAAGTGAATTCTAAGAGTATGATTTCCACACAGATCGACCTCAAAACCTTTCCCCAGCTTCTCATCTTCCTTTCTCACTATCCTGTCCTATTCTTTCCCCAGCCTTTCAACTCTCTCTACCAAGCTGTCTTACTTTGCTTAATTAGAATCTTTCAGTAGCCTTCTCTTCATTTACCACCTCTCCATTCTCTACTACATAGTTATGCCATTAAATTATTTAAAAGAACTTGTACTTAGTAACTAAAGTTATACGTGCTTTCTGAATTTTTTAAAGCTTTATATTTCTCCAAGGGGAAAAAAGAAAATAAGTTGTTTTTTCCTACATATTCTAGAAAAAGTTTTTTTAAATCTATAAAGTTTCCTTAACCCTGCTCTGTAAGTAAGTCTCTGAGTATATGGCTTGAAATTTTAAAAATCATAGTATTTTATGTCAAAACATGAATCATATTAAGCATAGTTATAACTAATGCTATAGAATTTGATTTGTGATAGTAATTGTGCACACACTATTATAATAGGAATAGACTTATTCTAAAAGACAAATTGTATTCTTTCTAAAAGACTCTGCTTAGAAATGGTTTAGTTTGAGTTTTGAACTTAAATAGCACATTGGCAGCAGCAGAAGCCCAGCAGCTTAGTTTCACGGCATTTTCAGCTGAAGCTTCCAATGGCTCCTTGTACTTTAAAGCACTTACTGTTGCTGGCCACACCAAAGATTCAAAAGCAGCTGTGTGGACAACTGTATCATACACCAAAACGATATATTTACTCACATAAGCCCACAATTTAAATCAGAAAATGGGGAAAGAAATTCCTGTGGATCCAAACTTGTCCAATGGTCAAGAAAAATTCTATTGAAAATCTTGCTTACATTTTGGCTCAGAGCACAAGTTATGAATCACTCACAATCACCATAGTGGTGAAAGTAGCATTCTGGGCAACAGGAATGGCTCACATGGTCTTCTACGGGAAAATTAAACCACTTTATCTCTACATATTATGGTCCATTAAAACCATTTAGTTCTTCCCTGTAGCTGATAGAGGAAATAAACTTAGTTTGAATATAATTTTTCTTACCGTTAAAGGGTACTGCAGGGAGCCATGGTCAGGGACACAGGCAGACAGAGAGCCAGTGCGCCAGGCGCCAGGAGAGAAAACTGTCCCTGAAAGAGGCATCATCTTCTAATGCAAGTGTGGGGTCGTTTTTGGACAGCCATTTTGGACAAGCTCTGGCCTCTTGTTAAACGTGACATACTGAGTCAGAGGCAGACGTCCTTCTGTGGTTATTCTCTTCCTGTCTGATTAATTTGTTGTTTGTTCCTTCCTCCTTTGCTGCAGAAAAAGAAACTACATTGGTTTTGCTTAAGAAGCGAGCAAGGAAAAAACCTAAATTAAAAAAATGAAATGTTTCTCCTCCCCACGAGGTGTAATACACAGCTGTTTGGTACAGTGACAAGAGGAGATGAGCACCTCCATTCAGTGAAGAGTCCAACTTTATTCTAGATATTCCCACAAAAATAACTGTTCGTGGAACTTGAGATTCCTCTAGGAAAATTCTATTTGAAAGTATCACTGTAAATACTGACTATTCCATTGAGTATTAGGGAAGAGTCACTCAAGAAAGAAAAGCTCTTACCTACCTTATCTTACCTCTTAATTAGGCTAAGTGCTTCTTCTCATTTACAGAGCATTCAAGTGTGTAGGGAGAAAGTTACAAATGCAGGTGGAGAGAGCAGATTAGATGTGTGAAGGCAAATGAAGTTCCTCTTTTTTTGGTTTTGTTTTATTTTTTTAAAAAAACAGTCTTGCTGTCACTCAGGTTGGAGTACAGTGGCATAATCATAGCTCTCTGTGGCCCTGACCTCCTGGGTTCGAGTGATCCTCCAGCTTCAGCCTCCTGAGTAGCTGAGACTATAGGCATATGCTACTGTACCTCGCTAATTTGTTTTATTTTTGTATTTTGTAGAGATGGAGTCTTGCTTTGTTGCCCAGGCTGGTCTTGAACTCCTAGCTTCAAAGTGATCCTTCCATCTTAGCCTCCCAAAGTGCTGGGATTATAGGCTTGAGCTACCATATCTGGCAGCAAATGAGTTTTGAAACGTGAATTTGGTGCCCAAGTCAGGATAAATGATATACAGCTTAAGTCAGCTGCAGATCCATCACTTTCTATGCCAAAATGTTTCTGTCCCCCACACTTAATGGGGCAACAGTAACTCTCCTAGAAGATGCTCGACAAAAGCATAGAGATAAAGAGGGCAGAAGGAAGAAAGTCAGATTTCTCATTATTAAAGAACTCAAGAGGTGGATGGCAATGGAATATATGTAGAAAACACTTTATCAAAACCTTGAGTTATGTACAGAACAATCTGAAAATGCTCATAGTTTTTTCTTAACCCATCTGAAAGGCTCAGACTTACATTTCCAACAAATAGCTTATAACTCTGAGAAAACAGTAACAGCAGAAGAACAAAAAAGAGAGGCATATTTCAGAAACTAGCTTCATTGTAAAACTGGAATGCTGGGTCCTGATTCTGCTGGCATCAGAGGCCCGAGGCATGAAAAACACACCCGTTGTGTAACACTGCCTTACCTGTAAAGTGACAGAACTGGGCTAGATGAGTGATTGTCAACTCAGGAATCTGTTGAAAATGCGTGGAAGCATTTTTGTTGGGGGTGGTGAGCAGTGAGTGGGAATGGTGGGGGCAAGGGCCTGTAGCATTCAGTGGGTGGGGCCAGGAATGTGAAATTTCCTATGGTGTTTAGGACAGTCTCACCCAAAATAGCAGAAGTGTTCCTACTGGGGAGCACTGGGATAGATAATGTCTAAGGATCTTTTAAACTCAAAATTCCCTGAGACAGGAGTCTAATTGTAGGAGCAGATTCATGATGTCAGGCCATGGGCACAGTCCCTGGAGTGGAGTATCCAAGAATAAGTGACTGAGAGTCCTCTGCTTTGCCTGGAGCCCCTTGAAGGCAGGGACTGCATTCCTCTTGTCTAAGCAGGACTGGAGTCCACCCATGATTTAAAATACCTGCAGGCATGGGCTGGACAGAGGTGGAGGCCTGCAGCTATCAGCTACTTCACCCAACACAAACCCTCAGGAAAACAGAAAACTTTATCAACGATTAAGTAAACGCCTCAGTGAATCTTTGGGGAAGTCTAATAATAGTCGGGTCTAAAAAGAGAACATGGGCGATATGACAATTTTACTATGTAGTTACAGAATTATTTTGAAGTTCTCTAAGTAAGACACCCCAAACACACACACACACACACACTCTCTCTCTCTCTCTCTCTCTCTCTCTCTCTCTCCCTCTCTCTCTCTCTCTCCTCCCGTCTGTCTCAGTACACATACCATTCATGGCTATTTCCATCCCTTAGGGGAGTGGTCCCAACCTTTATGGCACCAGGGACTGGTTTTGTAGAAGACAATTTTTCCACAGAGTTGGGATGCAGGGTAGGGATGGTTTCCAGCATGAAACGGTTCCACCTCAGATCATCAGGCATTATTCTCATCAGGAGCCTGCAACCTAGATCCCTCCCATGTGCGGTTCACAATAGGTTTCTCACTCCTCTGAGAATCTAATACTGCCATTGATCTGACAGGAGGCGGAGCTCAGGTGGAAAGCTTGCTCACCTGCTGCTCACTTCCTGCTGTGCGGCCTGGCTCCTAAGGGGCTATGGACCGGCTGGGGACCCTGCCTTAGGGAAAGCTCACTTAGAAAGAAGTATGTCATCTAGAAGTCTGCAGTCCCCAAGACACGCAAGGGAGTAATTGTGTAGTTTGAGTCTATTCCTACAGTCAACTTTGGACACATTTATCAGGTGTCTACTATGCATGATAGGACATAAATTAGATAATGTTCTTCCCCTGCTTAAAACCCTCCAATGATTTCTCATTTCACTGAAAAAGTCCAAACTCTTAGTTCCACAGGGAGCCACAAGATCTGGCCCCACCTCAACTCTCTGGCTTCATCCCAAGTAATATTCTGTCTTGCTAATTTACCTTCCACACCTTTCTGTTCCTTAAATGTACCAAGCTCATTTGCATCTTGGGGCCTTTTACTTGCAAGCCTGGTACTCTCTCCTGGTACACTCATCTTCTGATTCCTTCTTATTCTTCAGATGTCAGCAAAAATGCTCTCCCCATTTCTGCTTGCATTTTCTTTTATGCAGAGCACACATCACCACTTGATACTGTCTTAATTTATTTGTTTATTTACTTATATGTCTCTCTCCACTAGAATTCAAGCTCTAAGAGAGCAGGGACCTTGTCCATCTTATTTCTGCTGTTGCTTCAGCATCTAATGCAGAACCTCACACCTGGTAGGTGTTTGAAAATAGCATTTGTTGAATGAAAAAGAAAATCAAGGTTTCTACAAATTCTACCATAGCATACATATTTTTTTTTTTTTTTTTTGAGAGAGAGTTTCACTCTGTCACCCAGGAGGAAGTACAGCGGCATGACCTCGGCTCACTGCAACCTTCACCTTCCAGGTTCAACTGATTTTCTTTTTTTTTTTTTGAGATGGAGTTTCACTCTTGTTACCCAGGGTGGAGTGCAATGGCGCGATCTCGGCTCACCACAACCTCCATCTCCTGGGTTCAGGCAATTCTCCTGCCTCAACCTCCTGAGTAGCTGGGATTACAGGCACGCGCCACCATGCCCAGCTAATGTTTTGTATTTTTAGTAGAGACGGGGTTTCACCATGTTGACCAGGATGGTCTCGATCTCTAGACCTTGTGATCCACCCGCCTCGGCCTCCCAAAGTGCTGGGATTACAGGCTTGAGCCATGGCGCCTGGCAGGTTCAAGTCATTTTCATGCCTCAACCTCCCTAGCTGGGACTAAAGGCAGGCATGCACGACCAAGTGTGGCTAAATTTTTATTTTTATTTTTTCTCTTTTTTTTTTGAAAGAAAGAAAAAAAGAGAGAGACAGAGAAAGAAAGAAAGAAAAGAGAAAAAGGGAGTTTTTTTTTTTTTTTTTTTTAAAGAAAGAAACAGAAAGAGAAAGAGAAAGGGGGAGAGAGAACAGGAGTCTTGCTCTATCACCCAGGCTGGAATGCAATCTAAAAATAGGTATTAAAAACCTCTTTTATGCCGATAATTGTGCTTAACAGCAGAGACAGGAAGGAATAAGGGAAGAAAATAACAAACAAACAGCCAACCAATATTTCATTTAAGTCTGTGAAATGCTATGCAAATGCTGAAGAGTGATTTACTTCCAATTATGTGGTCACTTTCAAAATAGGTGTAATATGATACTGAGAAAAAGGTATGTTCTGTGGACCTGGGGTGAAGAATTCTGTAAATATTCACTGAGTTTACTTGTTCCGGGTCTGAGTTCAAATCATAGATGTCCCTGTTAATTTTCTATCTCGTTGATTCGTCGAATATTAACAATGTGGTGTCAAAGTCTCCCACTATTATTGTGCGGGAGTCCAAGTCTCTATAAGTCATTAAGAGCTTGTCTTATGTATCTGGGTGTTCCTATATTGGGTGCATATATATTTATGATCATTGACTCCTGTTGTTGTATTGATCCTTTTACCGTTATCTAATGTCCTTCTTTGTTTCTTTTAGTCTTTGTTACTATTAAAGTCTATTTTGTCAGAGACGAAAGTTACAACTCCTGTTTTCTTTTTTTTTTTTTTTGCCCTGCATTTGATTGGTAAGTCTTCCACCAACCCTTTGAGTCTTTGCGTGTCCTTGCTTATGAGATGGATGTGGATACAGCGAACTGATGGGTTTTGACTTTTTATTCGATTTGCTTGTGTCTTTGATTGGGGCATTTAATCCATTTAAATTTAGGATTAATATTGATATTTGTGAGTTTAATGTTGTCGTTTAATGCTACCTGGCTATTTTGCCCATTAATTGATATAGATTCTTCATTATGGAGATACTCTTTACCTTTTGGTAAGTTTTTGGGATGACTGATACTGGTTGTTCCTTTCTGTGCTCTTGTAAAGCAGGCCTGGTGGTGATAAAATCTCTGAGTGCTTGCTTGTTTGTGAAAAATTTTATTTTTCCTTCATTTATGAACCTTAATTTGGCTGGATATGAGATTTTGGGTTGAAAATTCTTTTCTTTGAGGATATTGAATATTGACCCACTCTCTTCTAGTTTATAGGGTTTCAGCTGAGAGATCTGCTGTGAGTCTGATAGGCTTCCCTTTATGGGTAACCCGACCTTTCTCTCTAGCTGCCCTTAGAATTTTCTCCTTTATTTCAACCCTCGTGAATCTAACGATTATGTGTCTTGGGGTTGCTCTACCTGAGGAATATCTTTGTGGTGTTCTCTGTATTACCTGAAGTTGAGTATTTTCCT